GTAATGAGTCAAATACTCTTTTACCGTTGCCTGTGGGGATGGGTGCATGAGATGAATCTGGATTAGAGAGCAGCCACCTATTGTGTGTGTGATCATCAGAACTGAACTGCTTAAATTTTTGCTGAGTTCAAACAACTGAACCAAGCACCTTCAGTCATAGCTCAACTTAGACCAGAACCAAAATAAAGTAGGTTAAGCTCTTTGACTGTAACATTAACTTCTAGAGTAACACAGTACCACTTTCTTCTTTGATTTCTCTAGTTTCAGGTGAAGTCTTCTATCCTGTATGAAATAGACTCTATTGGTTGGGGAGGGGAAATAAATACAAAGTAGGTAACCCAAGATTTTACATGTGGACTTTAGGATGTTAAATCTTGCTTTTAGTGTTCACAGAAGTGCTGCAAGGTTTTCAAAGTCCAGAGACACATTTTCCAAGCCAAGGAACTTTGGGGTTAGCTACCTGAATTTGTCACTTGCAAAACTAGTTTTGATACAGTCAAGTAAAGCTCTGTTCTGAATAAATGTGCGTCAGTGTTGAGGAAGGATTTCATTGTGTGTTCTGGCTAGAGGAACATGATCACTGTAAAGTTTGTGTGCATCCTTGATTATTTACTGCCCAAACTAGTAGTTTTTAAATAGTTTTGCTGAACAGCGGGCTTTTTTCTGTTCACTGGTAAGGGAAAGGATAGTCCCATAATCGTCCAGTAGAATAATCAGCTGTCTCATGTTGGAGTTACTTCAATAGTACCCAAATACTGTAGTGATATCTGTGTTAATTTCCACTCAAGTAGCGATAGCAATTCTTACCTTTATCTTGCCTGATTTTTTTTATAGTCTGCAATCTGCCTTCTGTTTAGGGCAAAAAAAGCTGGAAAGCAGTTTTAAAAGCTGTTCTACTTCCTTTTCCCATTCTTTCTGCTGATGCCTACTTCTGCAACATACGATGCTAAGGCACTAATAGAACCTGCAACAGCATCTAAAGTTTCATAAGTACAGTAAAAAAAAATGCTTTCCCAACTGAGAAATCTCTTAACATTTCAAAATATACTGCTGTGAGCAGCAGTCAAAGAGCAAAATATAGTTGCAGAGGGAAAAAGTCTGAAAGAATAGAATATGGCTGAGGAAAATTTACAAGGCAGGCAGAACTTTTTTAGGCAAGATCCTGCTGGTTTGGTTTTTGGAAACAGCAATGAGAGCTGTCAGCATTCAGGAAATGCTCAAAACGGACAAAATGTGTGACTTTTCAATTTCTGTGTGATTTTTCTGTGTGAAAATAGACACATGAGAGTTATTTTTAAAAGCATGTGAATCTCTTCAGAGAGCCTCGTTAAAGAATTATTCCATAACCTAGCCTCTTACTCCAGGATGTTTTGAGGAAAACTAAGTATCTTTTCTTAGATTAGCATTTCCTGAATGGAAGATCTCCACAGCTTAAATTCTGACAGACAAATGAAACAATTTTGCGATCAACTGATGGAGTCCAGTGGGGGTGGAGGACCGCATCAGAGAAGAAATAAGACTCAGAGGAGAGGAATATATAACTGGTGACTACTGAGAAGAGCAAAGAGGAGGAAAGCAAATGTGTAGAACAAGAGAAGGAAGCAAAATGCCTCAAAAAACCCACACTGAAGTAATAACAGGGAACAGAGTAGAAGAAATGAAGCAGAAACCAAAACATTACCGTGTTGAAAAAAGATGGATACCAGGAAAGAAAATAAGATTAAAAATGTCTACAAGTGGTGCTTTTTTCTTTCATGTTGTGTGAAAAAGCACCCGTTGCTGTGAACATACCTGTGGTGTAGTTCCTGATATTTGAATTAAATTGAGATCACTGTGTATGTATGTAGAGGCCTAAGTAGGTGTTGTTCTACACTATGTGCTTTGATAGCAGTGGTTGTACAGATTTCAAACTCGGATGGTGCCAGGCAACAGCTGTAACTTTAGTGCTCTTAATCAGGCGTGCATATGAAATTCGTTGTAGAATAAGAACCAACTTGCAGTACAGCAGAAAAGCCTTCTCTGCTGTTCTACGTTTCTCTGATAGCTGCATGTAGAAGTCAAGAGGAAAGCTCACAGGTGCTTGGGGCAATAAACCCTCATGCAAGCCCTTTTAGTTTGCAATTTAAATGTCACCTTATGAGTAGTATCTAGGACTGCACACCACCCAGACCCTCCACCAACTGAAACCTGACCACTCTGAGTTGTGAAAAAAGCTCTTACCACTACCACTTGCACGCTGCTGCTTCTTTGTGAGCTATAGCATCCCTGGCTTATTTCATGTTCATTCCACTACAGACATAAGTATGGTCATTTTCATTTTTACATGAAATTTCTATCAGTCTGGGAATGATTCAGGTTCATTGAAAGTAAAGCTTTAACTTGATTGTTGCGTTTTTTCTAAGTAATTCTGAATTTTTTATTTTTCTGTTCAGTCAATTTGAAATCCTTACATATTTATGAGCTTTTAAAATGAACACTTAAAATCTCTTCTCTTTGCATTGGTTTGTTTTAAACATATTGCTTGTTACTTACAGCCTTTTGTAGAGCTTAGCCTTTATCCTGGTTTTAATGAAGATTTGGGGGTTTTTATTATTTATTTAATGGTATGAGAAGGGGAAGCTTAAAATGGATTTTCATTTAGCATGGACCTTGTTTGTTTATTTCTCCTGTTCTTTCATTTAAAAGGCTGTGGCTTTTACCTAGTCCTTGAATTAATATACAGTGTTTCTTACATCATAACTAGTAGTTTCCTGTTACTTTGGGTCGTGAGGCAAAAGAAGTATCTATATTTTAAAGGAGTTTCTTTAACTGACTTGCTAGAACTGCTGTAATACAGCTTGACATTGTTTGGCAGCTCTCCCTTTTCTCTATTACTATGCTTCTTGAATATCAAAGAAAAAGGTGTAAGGCTGCTTTGTATCCCATGCTTTATGCAGCCGTATGAATGTTGCTTCCTTGAACTTACGGTGCTAACATTTGATGAAATAAAACCCCAGTAAAGAAGAACTTGCAGTATTGTAAAAGTAATGTATAGAGATGGGATTATCAATTCAGCCAGCATGTATGTTTGAATAAAATGGAATTATTTAACAGTAATTAAGAAGCTGGCTTGTACTATCACAAAACAGTAATCCAGTAAAATTTGGACTGACGAATCCGACAGTTTAGATAAAGTATAAGTTAATATTCAGACATGACCTGGCAATGTGCGTTTGCAGCCCAGAAGACCAACCGCATCCTGGGCTGTATCAAAAGAAGCATGGCCAGCAGGTCAAGGGAGGTGATTCTGTCCCTCTGTTCCACTCTCATGAGACCCCACCTGCAGTGCTGCATCCAGCTCTGGAGTCTTGAACACAAGAAAGACATGGACCTGTTGGAGCAAGTCCAGAGGAGGGCCACAAAAATTATGAGGGAGCTGGAGCACCTCTCCTATGAGGACAGGTTGAGAGAATTGGGGTGGTTTAGCCTGGAGAAGAGAAGGCTCCAGGGAGACCTTATTGTGGCCTTTCAATACTTAAGAGGGGCTTATAAGAAAGATGGGGACAGATTTTCTTAGTAGGGCCTGTAGCAATAGGACAAGGGGTAGTGGTTTTAATCACAGAATGGTTTGGGTTTGAAAGGACCTTAAAGATCATCTAGTTCCAACCCCCTGCCATGGGCAGGGACACCTTCCACTAGACCAGGTTGCTCAAAGCCCCATCCAACCTGGCCTTAAACTAAAAGAGGGTAGATTCAGGCTAGGTATAAGGAAGAAATTTTTTACAATGAGACTGGTGGAACACTGGCACAGGTTGCCCAGACAGGTGGTAATTGCCGCATCGCTGGAAACATTCAAGGTCAGGTTGGACAGGGCTCTGAGCAACATGATCGAGCTAAAGATATCCCTGCTCATTGCAGGGGGGGTGGACTAGATGACCTCTAAAGGTCCCTTTCAGCCCAAACTATTCTATGATTTTTAGAAAGAAAAATACAATTGTTCAGTAACATCTTAGAAATAAATAATAAAAGCTTGATAGCCTTTAATCTTTTAGTCTATTCTAATCAAATTGTACTTGATTGACAATAGCCTATTGGAAATCTCAGTATTAGAGATTTGCTTTTGTATAACTCATTACAATTGATGAATGAGATCCTATTCCTCTGGAGAAGTGGCTAAGCAATCTCATCTGCCAAAGTTACTTGAATCGCATTAAATCTATCTGCCCTTGTATTGCATTATGGCTTTTTTTTTTTGGTAGCCCTTAACCTTGTTTGAAATCCACTGTCATTCTAATATGAGTTGGTCTTCGAAACTTTTATGCAAGCAGTTTCAAACTTCCATTAATTTTTATTAGCGTACATGGATGGTGTTTCCCAAGATGTGTGAAAAGCATAGATTTGAAGACTTGTTTCTCCGTCGCAAGTTGAATTTTCATTTAGTACATGAAACACACTGAACATCTAACTAATATTGTCAGGATGCAACTAAATAGCAAAGAGAAAATTTTAAAAACTTTACCCTGTAGTTAAACACCAAATGTGTTCATATTTTGTTTAATAATCAAAATTTGATTGCAAAGTCTATAAGCGTTTATGTGAAATAAGCAACATCTTGTTGTATGGAGGTATGCTGCCTATGTGGTGCTAGCAAAGACCTTGAGCAATTTGCATAGAATTGCTCACACAAGCAAGGCCACAAGCGTGTTTACCTAGTGAAACCATGGAAATAGATTGGTATACGTGTAAGGGACAAAGAAGGTAAGAGTATATCCAGTGTGGTCCCTGTGGGGCCAAGCCAGTGAATGTAAAAGAAAGAGAAGAGCCTGAAATAGTAGTAATAAGAGAAGCTGAATTCTTAGGACGGGAAGGTGCTTTAGGAAGTATCTAATCTCAGTAACAGAGGCAAACCATTTTGTTTATTAAAATAACTTTTATTGAGAAAGAATTTATTGTGGGTTAGCTTTGTCTTTTCCCCCCAAGACGAGTAAGTCTTTCTTCTGTATGTTTCCCTTCCTTCACAGGGATTGGATAAAGGTTACTTTCGTGTGAGAGGGAAAATGCCTTCAGAAAGTAATGATTCAGCGATGTGTTTTCCTGTACCTTATGACCTGCCACCAGAACAGTATGGAAGCAAAGGTAAAGTGTGACTTCAGAAGAAAAGTAGGTGTATTGTATATGGAGCAACCTGGTTTGAGTCACTCTTGAGTCATTTGAACTCTACTGCCTTCCAAAGCTTTATTTTAAAATTTTTTTGTGGCATGGCTGCATTTGAGGTGGTATCTGTCCAACACTCTGCTTGCAACTTCAAAGAAAGGAACTATATAGTCTTTTGGTTCTAATTCTTTCTTTATTATTGTTTAAGTTTTGGATCAAGAATCTAAATATTTTTTCATTCCTCTCTTGGGATTCTTGTTTGCCTTAGGAAAATAGGTGTTCTTTATGGCATCAGAATGTTTCTCTGCAGAACTGATGGGGGAAGGAGTGTTGAAAGAGGAATGTTTGGAAGTGAGGGGTGTGAAAGAAATAACGTAGAGCGAATCTAAAGCAGTTGCTGCAAATCAGAAAAAAGAAGAGATGCTTCTGGTCCGTGCTATATTTCATAGTTTTAGACTTCATTTTCTTGAAGATCTGTGTTGGAATCCTCCTTGGAGAGGCGGAGGGGATATATTTTATATCGCTTGAAGAGATTTACAAAATCTCAACCTTCTCAGCATCTGAGACTATCTCTAGAACATGCAATTCAGTGATAAGTAAGTGCTGCTATGGGGTGAGGATGGCTTAAAGCTAAAAATACATTGAGGACAGTGGTGTTGATGCACGACCTGTGATATTTGGGAAGAGTAAATTTTTATACTTTTGTTCTTAAAACTAATGTGAAAAGATTGTAAATAACTTATTTTTTTGGAAGCCATGACCTAAAAAAGACATTCTCTATAGCAAAGCTTGAAATAATACAGTAACAAAGAGCTCGGAAAGATAGTGTTTGTAACAACTCGGGTCTTTCTGTAGATTTTTTTGAACTAACAAATGCTGTGGGGAGAAAGAATATTTAAAAGCTAATAAGTAAATAGACTTACAGAGTCTTATATAATAAGTAAAAGTAAAGATACATCATTTCAGGGTGACTAAAGTCCCCCAGTAGGATCAAAGCTTGCAAGCATGATGCTTCCTGTAGTTGAAGTAAGACTACTTTGGCAGCATCCTCTTGGTTAGGCAGCCTGTGGTTTCCTTTGTTGGCTTGACCTCTGATTTTTCACCCATAAGCTCTCAACCTGTTCATTGCTGGTTTTCGAACGCAGTTCTGTGCAGTCAATCCACTTTCTTTTACATAGAGGGCACACACCCTCCACCCTTCTTCGTTGCCTGTCCCTTCTGAGCATTTTATAGCAGTGAACTGTAGTGCTCCAGTCATGTCATTTATCCCACTAAGTTTCAGTGATACTGATCAGATCACAGCTTTCTAGCTGCACAGTGGCTTCCAACTCGTCTTTGTTATCCGTGCTGTGTGCATTGGTACAGAGGCACTTCAGCTGAGCTGTTGACTGTGTCACCTTTTTAGAGGAACAAGCCCTAATTCCTTTGCAGCGTTTCACAGGTGTTTCCCTGTTGGTACCTAATACTTCACAGCCCATGGCTCTTCTGTGTTGCTCAAAACTCCATTCCCTTCCACCACTGAGTCTAGATTAAAGCCCTACTTACAAGTCTGGCCAGTTTTTTGGCAAAGAGGGTCTTGCCCCGCTCGGTCAGGTGAATCCCATCAGCTCCCAACAAACCTTTCTCACAGGTAGATCCATGATCATAGAAGCCAAAACCTTGAAGTATGGCACTAGCTACACAGCCAGGCATTCACCTGTTCAATATGATGCATGTTACTTTTGTAACTTGCTAAGATGGTTTTTCTGCTGGAAGAGTTTACTACTTACCTAAAAGAATTTTTAAACAGTATTTCAGTTGTCCCAGAGAAAAAATACTGACTCAATGTAGAAATGATAATGCAATCTATTATACTGGGTTTTTAGTATAGAACATTAAGTCCATGTAAGTACTGTTAATGTTGTTTCAGGGAGTGGTGGCAGGGGTTGTGCCTGGCTTACTAGCTAACTGAAGGGGAAGAATATGCTACAACTAACTGTTGTGCTCTGGGACATACATGCACTGTCTGCTTGTTAAGTAATGCTCAAACGGATGGTTTTGGAACATTTTTCTAAAAGGTCATACTTAAATTTTTGGAAATTTTAAAACAGATTAAAAATTAGAGTCCATGTATATTCTCAAATGTGTTACATATGCTACCTTCCTTGTGCAAAAATGTAGTTGTATAATTAATATTGTTCTTGTTTCAATTCCTGCAGTTAACCTACTGTGTCAGTGAGTTTTATGCGTATTTCAACTAAATGTAAAGATTTTTTTTTCCAAATTAGTTTGTTTTTTTTTACTTTTTGCATGGAAAGCTTATTTCTGTAGAGAACTCGTTTGTCTGTAGTTCAGCTTCTGGGTCTCGGCTTTCTCCTGTGATATGAACAGATGTCAAAATTCAAGTTGTCTAGGCTTTGGCAGTGGAAGCTAAGTCAGCTGTCTGTGCCTTTTCACATCTCCTTCCTGAATATTCTGGTTTGGTTCCTCAGCCTTCTGGTGGAAAAGATGGTTAAAGAATTCCCATGTTATGGGATGGACTCATGAAATAATCTGTCCTTAACAATGCAGTTATCAACTCCCAAAGTCTCTGGAGAGTGATATAAATAGATTCATTTTAATAAAGTCTTGAGAAGCAGAAATGCAAGTAATTATCCTTTCCCTAAAGAAACAGTATTGACTGATCCTTATAATTGAAGGAGAAAAGGCTCTGGGGGATTTTCCACGAACTCAAGATTCTCTAACCATGGGAAAACAAAGTACACATCACTTTCATGTAATCAGAAAAATCCTTTCAGGAGCACGAGGGAGGAGAAGCAGGAGGAATAGTGAACAGTCTTGACCAGGGCCATCCATTTGCCATGTAAAGGTCTAAGTAGACGATAGGTATACCAAAATACATTGTTTTTTCTTGTACTGTGCACACTTGAATCTTGGATCAGACATACTTAATGTTACAGAATTATATAATGTAACAAAGTGAAAGAAAAACAGTTCCTCAGTTTGTGGAAATAATTTAATCACAGAGGTTCTTTGTCATTCTGTCACAATGGCTTTCTGTCAATTAATTGGTGTTTATCCGATGGGACTGGACTTCCAACATGCTGTTACAGTGAAGTAAATGCATCTTGAAAAGCAATAAAATACATCTCAGGACATAACAATGATAAACTTATCAGTAAATTATATAAATAATCTGGTTTCAGCCATAATAGTTCATGAGGTTGATACATAGTCTTTTAAAGTCCATTGAGTTCAATAATAATGAAATAACTTGATCCCAGTCCTACTTTTCTCTCACTCCGTATAGCAGGGAGGAAAAAAAATACGAAGACTTGTCCACCTTTGCCTGGTTTGCCTCGTTAGTCAGTGGGTTTACTTCTAAAACACAAGTTTAGGCAAAACAGAAAAGTATGATCTCTTGGAGAAACAATCATGAAGATTTTCTTCCTCCTCTTCCAAAGATTTCTGAAGCTGTGATCATTGAGAGACAGATAACTTCTTGGTTTTGCATTGTTTTTCTCTCACAGAGAGATAGATTATCCTTCACTAAAACAATCATAGGCTAAGCTGTGGTCACTGAAGCATGTATTGATGTGCTTTAAGATGTCACTGGTAAGGTCATTATGATATATCACTTCCGTGACAAATACCATATTTAAAATTTTCCCATTGCTTTCATTTAGTTTTCAGCTGTATTTCAGATTTGCACATTTTACAATACATGGACAGGTAAACTCCATCTGCTTGTGCCAACCAGAGTCATTTGATCTTCCTGAAGGGAACAAAGAATAAAATGAAACTGGGCCTCAAACCATAGCTGGTAGCAGCATAGTCGCTTCAAATTGAGATGAGGAGTTTGTAAGATTTCTTCTGTTAGAGAAATCATACCAGAAATATTTTCATGTCAAGTAGCCCATTTTAACTACATAGGATGTTGTAAAAATAAACCACCAACAACAAGAAAATAAAACCAAAACAAACAAAAAAACCCCACAACCAACAACAACAACAACAAAAAGCCACCGATAAACCACACTAATGCTTGGGAAAAAAAATTATTTGGGGCCTAAAAATTGTCAGAAAGTAATGATTATGTGATTAATTAGCTCAATGAATCAGTGAATCTATAGTTCACATGTATTGTAAACCATGTTGTTGTTGTATTACAGTGAGTGTCAGTATTTTGGGCTACTTCATCGGCTTTTTTTTCCTAGTGAGTTGCATTTAACTTTCTAGTTACATTTAAACATGTCTAGGTTTCTGCTTGATTGGCTCTGTTTTCTGATTTTTTAGGGAGACCTGAGCAGGTGAAACATTGCTGCACCATTTGTCTGCATTATTATTCTGACAGGTTTAAGATTAATAAATCTCATGCATTTGTTACAGAACTGTCTCATAGCACTACTGAAAAGCAGATGAGCTAAAAATATATTTATCAGCAGTTCTTTGAGTTGTGACTGGGTTACAAGGCAGGAATTTAGATAAGCTCTTTCTGAGCTGTTAATTAAAAATGCTCTGGAACTGCTTAAACCCTCTGGAAGAGAACACCATAAAATTTACATAATAATATGTAAATATTATTATACATACTATTTACATTTGATAAGTATTTGTAGTGATATCAGAATACTAGTAAAACTCCATCTCATTTATTACACATAAACTTCTTGTTGTGTTGGATAAAACCAAGAAAAACTTCATGGCATATTTGCCTCCAGCTCTGGTAGGTTTAGATATTTGTGTTTTATCCTATTAGTTAAAGTGGGGATCACTTTCATTTATCCTGCCTTATGCAAGTGGCAGAGTACCTGAAAGAGGAGACCAGTGTTTTGTCCAGCTAAACTAGAGGAATCCTTTACTACTCAGCTCCCTTACAGGGACCTGCTATATCCTCAGAAGGTCAGAGAAGTTCTGGGAAAATGTCACTGTACCTGGTCTTTACCTTTCTCCCACCTTTGTTTTTTGTCCAAGGTTCTAGAATTCTCCACTTTCCCTGTCAAGTAATTAAAATATTTTTTAAGAAATTAAGAAAGAAGACTTCTGCGGAAGTCATTCACATTTTTCAGTAACCTCCTTTTTTCTAACTAATATTGCATAGCTACGTGGAACCTCTGTACTTTCTAGAGTTTGAAAGAACTCAACTGGCAGCATCCTATGTGAATTTTTAAAGAACTTCAGGTCCTCTCAGTATGCTTAATATGGTGCAAACTCTAATATCCTTTCTTCTGAGAAGAGACCTAAAAGCTAGTCCTGTTTTTAGTGATACTAATACATTGACTACAACATATTTCACAGGCTGTCATAACAAGACTGTGACAAAGCTGAATGTATTGATGATACTAAGATAAAAGAAACCTGTAGACCAGCAATATAATTTGAGAGTTCCTTAGTAGGAAAACAGAGACTGATCCAGTCTGGTATTTGGGAAACACGCAAACAACAGCCAATCTTGCATGGGAAACATGCGTACAACAGCGAAGGTGTCTATATAAATAAAATTTCTTTGTGCCTTTAACATTCAACTTTTTATTTCCCTCTAGAGTCTTTCAGATGAGTATTGCTATTTTGTTGTACAAAATTATCTTCTCACTGAGCTCCATTTTCATATCTTAGTTGCAATATTGCAATTATCTCTCTTGCTGATGTAAGTTGACCTGATCCTATCATGAAAGTACAGCATTTCATTTAGAGTGCTTGAGGACCGATTCCCCTATCACTTTTGTTCACCCTATTGGAAGTTTCCTACTACAGACTTACATTGCATAAAGGAATACAACCCCGGGGGGGTGTGTGGGGGGGTGCGCCTTTGCATGGGAAAAGGTACAAGCTGCTTGCTGTAGTCGAGGAATATCACTTAATTTGTGATTTAGATCTTAGACAGTTTACTGACTGAGGAAATCATCTGCTATATGGGAGGAACTTGAAACTTCAGTACATAAGTACCTCAAGGTTTGGGTTCTTTGTTAGAACAGCTTGGGAAAAGCCTCAGAAAAGTACAAAGGACTTTTTTTTTTTTGTTGATGTCATGAGAATAAAAAAAAGCAAATCCTGCTTTTAAACTGCAGTACTGGGTTTTGTTTTCTTTTTCTTTTTTCCCCACAATGAATGGTCATTGTCCTGGCCTTCAGGAATTACTGCCTTGTTTATGAATATTTTTATATACCCCATCTCCCTTTCCCCCTTCTTGAGATCTTTGGGTATGATTTTTGTATGGAGAGGAACAAGATAGTTCCTTTATAAATGCCATCCTTATCCGAAGGGAGGGGTGAAGAGAGACTGAAGTATAGTGTGCACCTTCTGCAAATGCTGAAATGAAGAATTTTGCAGCCTCATGCAGCAGGGAGTAAGTTTGCCATGTTAGAATGTATATGTAGAATGACTTGAACTCCAGTTATTTGTGAATAACCTTTCTATATATGTGAACACTTACTACTTCAAAGCTACATTTTTCAATTGGAAGACTCATGAAGTACTGTGAAAGATGATGTAAGAATCCAATCTCTGCATTTAGAAATCAACCAGGAATAGCTCTCATCCAAATCTCCACTCACAGTGCAAAAGACCCTTGTATTTTAGAGGATCACAAAGTGCTTTAATCGTATTTTATACTTTACTAGTCAATTGTGTGTTCCTGTAATTCACAGACTTTTCTGGTTTTGGCTGTACATGCCATACTGCCATCTGTCATGAGAACATAAAGTTTTGAGATGGCTTGCCAGCATGTTTTTGACTTACGCAATATACTGCATTTGTAAAATACTGTTGTTAAAATCTGCAAAACAACCTTGTTGTACAATTGTCAGCCTGTGGTTTCATATTCTGTAACGTGATCTCAAAATGTGGGGATTCTTTGAGTGATGAATCAGGTGTACTTGAAAAAACTTTTGTTCTGCAGATCCTCTCTATCTTTAAATGAAATGTGATAGTCCCTTCAGTTGTGAAAGAATCTTCCAAAGTCTGCCGCCTGAGTATAACAGACACAGCGCTTTGTCTGAGGTTTCAGATGATCTTAAAGTAGCAGTGGGGTGGGAATGGCCCTGTTCATTTTACTGTGTGCTAACTCCAGTGCTAGAGTTCTGCTGCTTGTGAGGCAAGGAGGGAGCAGTGGTACTGGGTCACTGGGTAACGCCAATTCCAGTAACATGCAGTTGAGACAAAATTAGGGTATCAGAAATGAAGAACTGAACTCGAAAGGTGTGGAAGGTAAGTACACTGGGCACACTTAAAATACATAGAGAGGGGCTATAAACAGGGAACAGTTAACCTTTTTTTTCCCCAGAAGATCAAAGGATTTAACTTTCAAAAGCATGGCAATCATTTTGGTGTGCAACAGTAAGCAGCTGCGGTCATACAGTATTTGTACACAGTCATTGTATTTCTCGTGCTGCTCTAGCTCCTATTAAAGTGATAAATAATTTTGAATTGGATCTGACATTTTAAAAATCGCTGAATTGGAATTTGTTTCAGCAATAGTTTACACATGGCTTATTAAAGTAGTATCAGATGTTTTGTAAAACCAACAGCATCCCATTAACAGAACAAAGTTCCAAGTATGTTAATAGCTACCTTAAGAAAATGTTAAGATAGCCACAGTAAAAAAAAAGAGCTAAATTAGGTATTGAAGCCTCTCAGAGTGCTATAAGAGGTGACTGAAGTTTTTTTTGTACATCTAAGCCTTCCTCTCTGCCTGTATGCTTTGCCGAATTAAGCAGAGTAACTGCAGGTGGTAGCAAAGATGAATACGTCCAAGCTGCATAATGTGCTCCAAGTGACAAATTCCAGTGCTTGAGTGGGACTGGGTTTATTCTGATGTCGTAGATGGAGGTCAGTGATCAAATCTGAATGTACACTTGAAATCCTGAATGCTTTTCCAACATTTGCTTTATTCGGTACTCATTCTTATAACTACTAATGTTGACTATGTGGTAAGGTATTCACCTGAAATACAAAAGGTACTCATGGCTCTCAAGCAGGAGACTGATAAAAGAGGCTTAGGGGAATAATGGTGCTACTTTTTCTTTTTTTTTTAAGAGATCACTCGAAGTCTTGATATCCTGCAGCTGACCCAGAAACCTAGAATCATTTTTTGGCAGTGCACTGAGTTAAGTGCTATAGTTTCTTCAGTTTTTCAATGCCCTATATTTTTTTGTGCTTGGAAATCACCTCTCCACTGTAACCTAAAGCTAGCCAACTCCTCCTTCCACCTAGAAGCTATGTCATGATTTTAAATCAGAGGAAGACATGGATGTTTGCTTTTATTGTCCTCTTATAATAACATTATGTGAAAGATGGCATTTGTTGCACAGGCCGTTCTTTCTCTGGTGATCATATTCCTGTGACTTGTAACGTCGCTATCAGTCTTCATAGTCGCTAAACGTGAAGTCGTTTTTTCAAGTCAAGCAGATTTAATTTTGTTGTAATTAAAGCATTTTCCTATTACCCTCTTTCTGCTGTAAACAGACACTTTTGTAAAACATTTGCATAGCTGGGACATGTTTCACTGCAACATATGGAACTACAGTACTAGAATTAAATGCACTCTAGTAGTGAGTAGTAATGAGACTTGGCAGGAATGTTCTCCCTGACCCGTGTTTAATCGGCCTGTTACTTGTCACAGTGTGCTGTCGTGTAATTTATACGTTCCTTCATTACTGCTTCTTACTCTCCCCTTCTTGCTACAGTAATTCTTACTTCATGTATTGTGAGAGCTGGTATTGGATCCTGTAAACTTAAATTTGGACAACGGTAATCACAATCAATAGCTTATCTGAAATTTCAATTGACAAGCATGTAGCAAATCTTCTTTAGCACGTATACATCGAATATCATGCAGATGAGTAGCTTGTTTTTAATAAATGAACTACTCCCGTCATCCTCGGTACAATTAGGCTTGATCTGTGCATTGTACAGATTAATGTCACTTCCTTCAGGGCTCATTCGTAGTTGGAGAAATGAAGCAGGCTACATGTATATAAACTTCTTGAGGAAAATCACTGAAAGGACTGAAGGAATTTTCTCTGTGATTCAGTAGTAGCCTGAGAGTAGAATAATAGCTTGGCTTTGTAGACCCGCTGCTTTTCTGCCACGTGTATGTGGTAGGAGGAAGAGCCTAGAGCAGGTTGCAGAGCTAGCATTGCCTCTCCCCCTTCCCAGGAGTTGGAAATAGGTTCTGTATTTTGAAAAGTGGAGGGAGGGAAGGGAGGGAACTGTCTGCTGCAAACCTGTTGCTCATCTAAAGATTGGAGAAGTGAGGTGCAAACTTGAACGTTTCAGAGCTCAGGAGCATCCTTCTTAGGTATTGAATTCTTTCTGTCTCTGTGAAAAATACTGATACGTTACAGCATAATTCTGTTGGGTTGAGATACACAGTACAAAACCTGCTGCTTATGGGCCAAACCAAATTTGGCTGCATTACTATTCCTGTATACTGTCTGAAATAGAATTCCTTTACATCTGGTGGGGAGTATGTTGGGTTATGATAATTTTATTTAAAATAATTTTTGGAGAGAAAGCAAAGCCTTTTGGAAACTCTAAATCTTACCATTTTAAAAAATAGATGAATAAAAATTTCCAGTACACTGAAATTGAACATGGGGTTATGTGAAAATCAGTGGGACGTTTGACCCTCTTCCTCCAAAGGGGCATGAGGAAGACCATCAATATTTTACATTTAATAACTGAATTTGTCATGAGCATGTTTTTGTTTTGGTTTACAGATCAACCGTGGATTTGGAATATTCCTTACACTAATGCCCCTGATACACATGGAAATATGTGGGTTCCATCATGAATGTTTCCAGTGCTCCATGACATTTCACTTACTGACACTGAGCCTGCCACACTACTCGGAAGACTGCTTATTTCTGGTTTTTTTAAGCTATGTCTGTTATAGTTGGCTAATTTGTAGTTGCAAGAAACATTAAAATGTTGATAATGGGGAGACTCTTGGAGAATCTGTAACCATATTATTATAAATGAACCTGCATTTTTAAGTACCTTTTTATATGCTTTTTCCTTACTGTGCTTCTTAATATGCTTTTCAAGATTAAAACAAGTGTAAACCGTTCTCAGAGGTTCTCTCTGCATTTTTAGCTGTAATGAATTTAAAATTTACTGTTATGTGAGTCTGTCAGTTGGCCCCAGAAGCTGGAATAAAAGTTACTGTATGTAAAATTTAAATAAAAATAAAGTCAATCTTGTTTATATTTCCTTTGTTCCATCTTCTTCTGAATGCATCCATTTCAAATTGGATTGAAGCTTTGCAATTATTACTTCTAATGCAAGCTCCAATATTTGCTGTTTTGGCCTCTTGTCAGTTATTTCCTAATCCTCTTTGTCCCCCTCGCAGACACCCAAGTACTGTCCAAAACGCCAAATTGAAGTGGATGGGCTTCGGTGCTCAAGAGTGGTGTAATGGTTTTACATGACAAGGTTTTGGTAGCAGGGGCGTTACAGGGGTGTCTTCTGTGAGAAGAGGCCAGAAGTTTCCCCTATGTTAGATATAGCCAATGCCAGCTGGCTCCAAGAGGGACCTGCTGCTGGCCAAGGCCGAGCCCATCAGCGACAGTGGTTGCGTCTGTGACAACGTGTTTAAGAAAGGGAAAAAGTTGTTGCGCAAAAAAAAAAGAATTGCAGCGAGTGAGAGGAGTGAGAATATGTGAGAGAAACATCCTGCAGACACCCAGGTTAGTGAAGAAGGAGGGGGAGGAGATGCTCCAGGTGCCAGAGCAGCGATTCCCCTGCGGCCTGTGGTGAAGACCATGGTGAGGCAGGCTGTCCCTCTGCAGCCCACAGGTGATGGAGCAGATATTTGTCTACACCCCATGGAGAACCACGCTGGCATAGGTGGATGCCTGAAGAAGGCTGTGACCCCATGGGAAGCCTGCACCAGAGCAGGCTTCTGGCAGGACCTGTGACCCCTGGAGAGAGAGAAGCCCACGCTGGAGCAGGTTTGCTGCCAGAGACCCCATGAGGGGCCCATGCTGGAGCAGTCGGTTCCTGAAGGACTGCACACCATGAAGGAGACCCACGCTGGAGCAGTTCATGAAGAGCTGTAGCCTGTGGGAAGGACTCACACTGGAGAAGTCATGGAGAACTGTCTCCTGTGAGAGGGACCTCACACTGGAGCAGGGGTAGCATGTGAGGAGCTCTCTCCCTGAGGAGGAAGGAGTGGCAGAAGAGCAGAGTGATGAACTGACCCCAACCCCTATTCCCTGTCCCCCCGTGCTGCTCGGGGGGAGGAGGGAGAGAAATTGGGAACAAAGTTAAGCCCAGGAAAGAAAGGGGGGGGCGGGGAAGGTGTTTTAAGATTTGTTTTTAATTCTCATTTCTCCTCTCTGAGTTGATTTGTAATAAATTACTTCTTTTCCCAAGTTGAGTCTGTTTTGCCTGTGACCATAAATGCTGAGTGACCTTCCTGTCATTATCTTGACCCATGAGCCTGTTACATTTTTCTCTCCCCTGTCCGGTTGAGGCAGGGAGTGATAGAGCAGCTTCAGTGGGCACCTCACATCCAGCCAGGGTCAAGCGACCACAAGTAGTCTTAACTAGTGTTGCGGGATGTATGAACAACTGGTCCTGCAGCCTAGATATCTCGTAGCATAGTCTGGTACTTCATTCAGAATTCCCTCTGGATCCCAAATAATCTGACTGGGTAGCTGTTCCAGTGCTCCTTCATTCATTTTGCAGTGTCATTCCCCAAGACGGTTTGGAGTACACTGGGAGTGCACTACTTCCTAATGTTTATCTAATGTCTGTCCCTGTTTCATTCAAAAATTACCATAGAAAAGGTGTGTGTTTAGGAAATTGGAATGGCATCTGCCTAGCAAGGAGAAGTTTTCTTTTGTTTTCCCACACTGTCACAGACCAATCCATAGAGAAACTATGAAGTACTGCTTCTTTTCCATCTTCCATACCCTTTCCCTGTTCTACCCTCTCCAGTTACATTCAAGTTCTCTGGTGCAGTTATCCGATGGTCTGTCAAATCAAAAAGGTTATGGCTTTGTAAGGGAAATTATTGTACAGTCTCTTATTCAAAGGGTAAATGGAGCTAGATAGTGGAATAGCCTTGGCTATAAGAGAGGAATTTTACACTCACTCTTCACAGCAAATGCCAGGAACTTGGGTATTTAGGTGGCTAATTTCTTAGCTCATGTTGGCAATTTAGAGGCCCAGTAACCATTATTAATTCTTTATCTGGTTTTGAGAACTTTGTGAATAACGTGAGCCAAGTACGGGTCAGAGTGCTGCTGGGATGTCCATGGAACAGATAGGAAGATTGCTTTCTGCTTTCACCTTCCCTTGGTTCTATATGCAGAATCTTTACTGTTTATGTTACATGCAGAAACTGAGTCTGTCCCTGATGACCATGATGACCCTGAAAAGACAGGGATCAGAGAAGGTAACATGAAAATGGAGCGGTGTGCTCTAAAAACCAAGAACAACTTCATAGCCATTGTTACACTTTCTTTTTAACAGAGTATTATCATTTTAATTATTTTCATTCTGTGAGAATTAGAGAAATCATAAGTAGGAAGATGTCGTCATACGCAGAAAGCTTCAAGAGTTCTAGAAGGTCAGCTAAAAATTGATGGACATTTATCCTTAATTTGTGAAGAATATGTTTTATTGATGTTACATATATGGGTATTTCTGGTTTTGTCATAGAGTGGTTTGACCAGCTCTGAGACATTCCTGGTTAAATTCCAGCTGAAATTTTTCAGTTTCCAGGAACTTGTCATGATTTAACTTCAGCTCTCCAGGGCTCAGATTAATGCAGTGTCAGAAGATCCTTCCGAAGTCCATTGGTGGGAACAAATAAACCAAGTGATCAGATCTGCTAGGAGAACTCAGGGAATCTTTCCAAGGCAGAGCTGTGACCCAAAGCAACATGGACTGTGGTATGAGCACGGAAGTGTCACTCTGCTGGGTGGCAGAGGTGGAGGAAAGAGTGAAGGCTGGGGGTTTGGTTTGCTGGGCAGTATGTGGTGTGAGGTGAACTGATGGTTCAAATAAAGGTTGAGTTTGGTTGAAAGAGAGATGCATGTAGTTCTTTTTCAACTGTTTAAACAATGCTCTTCCAGAATGGCAAGGGAAACTTGTTTTGAAGAAGCTGTCCGAAGATAACTAAAACTCCAGGGTAGCAACAGTCTTTTTCAGTCAGTCCTATGCAGCCCAAACACAGCTGGGCTTCATGACACATTGGAGCTGGGCGGAAGGCTCTTGGCAAAACCTTTGTCAGAAAATGCTGTTTAATAGTTTTCTAGATGTGCAGCCTCTCAGGTGCCAAGACAGACTTAAGAACACTTCTTAACTGTCTGAATAGAACTTTAAATATTTTCTTGTGCAGAATATTTTGAAATTCCATTTTTCATACCACCGTAATAATTTTTTGTTTCATGTCAGGGTCCTAACATTTGGAAAGTGGAACTATGAATAAAGAGAAGGAGAAAACAGACAAATTACTCCAACCCATAGCAGAATGTCTAACATATGTAGCTGGATTTGACTCTAGGATCTTTGCTTAAAGTGATATTTAGGTCTGAGACCCCTGTGTTTCTCCTTTATTTTTAAAAGGGAGTTCAAATTTTTTTTTAAAAAAAAAAAAAAGAAAAGAAAAGAAAAGAAAAAAGGCAATAGCATTGTCTGTAGAAGTAATTGTTATTCAACACAACATCTTTTTTGCTCAATAAATTGCTGATTAATTTCTCTTGCTACTGCTGACAATGAATCTGTTCTGGTGCCTGTTCAAAATTAAGTGCTTCCCATTACAACAGTGTAAGAATTTATTGCTAATGCGTATCGGTACATGCTGGTGCAAACAACGTGCATACATTTCTGCAGTGCTGCTAATTAGGTTGTAAAGAAGGAAGTAGTGCATTTTTCTGTGGCTAAACGGGTAAAACGATCTGATCGAGCCCTAGCCAATTTTAATGGCCAATGCAATCGGTCATGTTTCATAAAAGCTCAGCTGCCTCCTAACCCCCCAGCTGTACAAGGTCCCGTGCTGGTGTTACAAACCATCCATCAGAGGTCACAGCATGGAAGGGAAGCAGACTGCAGAGCTGCCATACACCCTGCAGAAGGAGAACTCAAGGCGGATGACTGGAAATTTGGTTTCACGGCGGCACTTCCAATATCGGACTGCATTGCTGTAGCCATTGGGATAATACCAGCTTACTCCCTCCTGGGACAAGGAAGGAAACTTAGTGGTTGCCTGTGATTCTGAAAAGGTTAAATCTTCTCCCAAGGGCAACATAACACTGTGCAGTTTCTTATTGGAGTTGCATAGTAAAGCAATGATCTAATTTTGGTTTGTTCAAGACCACGATACAGTGACCTATCCAGAGTCTTCTCACCGCACTTGAGACTAAATCCAGCATCACAGAAGTAAAAAGGTGTAAAAGGTACCATGTGTTTTGTTCCACGCTAGGTGTGCAAACACGCAACAGTATTATAGCTGTCTCATTTGGCGACTTTCCTAAATGCGTCAATGTGCTTTTTTCAGCAATTAGTGATGTGTTAATTCCTTGTACTTTCTTCTGCTAAGACTTTCTATCTTTTGATATTCTAGTCTTCCAACAAATGTGATCACAGTAACAGAAATAACTCCACAAAAAATCCCACGTAAATTAAAATAAATAGAAATGTGATACCAAGAACTGAATATTGAAAACAGTAAATTAATGTAATATATAGATATTCACTGTGACATACTCTTGCAACCCAATGTGTGTATTTAAAAAAGCTAGAAAGGAGATGTAATGTTCTTTATAATGCTAGATGCTACCT